TTGCATCTTTTGAGCTTTTCTATTTCATCATTTTTTTCATCAATTTGCTAATCTTCCAAGTTCAATCAGTGTGGTAGATGTTTGCATATTGATTGATTGACTCCAATAACATAGCCCCAATACATAAGCTTAATTGTAACAATAGTGTTTAGGGTCTTCTTTCAAGAACTTCATAATTATTTCATTTCATTCACGGATATATATATATATATATATATATATATTTGTACATGTTTATAGAGACATACATGGTTGATTCATGGGTAGTGTTTATTAGTTTGCAAGTAAGAAAAATTGAAATTGGTTAGATTTAGATGAAAAGATTATAGAATAACTTAATTTGACTTTCTTTCTAATCTCAAGAACCATACAGAGCACCTAGGGTTGCCATCATTGTGAATTTATGTTTCATCATTTTTCTACACATTTGGATAATAAATCCACCACATGGCATAATATATATATATATATATATATGTCACAAAGCTATGGATTTGATTCACTTTTACAAACCTTTCCCCCAGCTTTTTTTTTACTAAGTTTAAGGCGTTTTCGACTCTAACTCCCAATGTACGTGTGCTAATTACATCTCGTCTGTGGCCGCAGGTCCTAGTTGTCATGAGAATGCTGGCCGTGACAGCTATACATTGGTTCGGGGGCTGTTTTGCATTTTTGCCTCCTGAATGCCTTTTTTCAAATAAGTATAATGCATTTTTTACTCCAACTCCCAATGTACGTGTAGTAATTACATCTCGTCTATCCCCACAGGGCGTATTTGTCACGAGGAGCCTGCCTGTAACATCCACAGAGTGTTTCGGGGGCTATTTGCATTTTCACCCCCCGAACGCCTCTTTTCGACTAAGTTTAAGGCATTTTTACTCTAACTCCTAACCTACGTGTGTTAATTACATGTCGTCTGTCCCCACATGTCCTATTTGTCATGAGAAACCTGCCTATGACATCCATAGAGTGGTTCAGGGGGTGTTTTGCATTTTCGCCCCCTAAACGACCTTTTTCGATTAAGTTTAAGGTGCTTTCGACTCTAACTCCCAATGTACACGTACTAATTACATCACATCTGTCCCCACAAGTCCTATTTGTCACAAAGAACCTGCTCTTAACATCCACAGAGTGGTTCGGGGGCTATTTTGCATTTTTGCCGCCCGAACGCCTTTTTCCAACTAAGTTTAAAGCGTTTTTGACAAAGTTATGAAAGCAATTGGGATACCATTTCTAAAACCTGGGGATAAATGCAGGCTACTATTCCCGATCTGCAAATGTAAGTCTTACCTCTTCTACACATTCTCTTTTAATTGACCTATGGAACAATTGCCTGAAGTTTCTTCTAGCTAGACAAGCTAGAATCATTTACAAAAGGAAGTGCATAGGCACTTTTGGTACTGTGCATCCAAAGGTATGTAAAATATTGCTCAAGAAAACTTATTTTAGAAACGAAACTACTTGGATTAGTTGCTGTAAGATTTCTTTGTTTTCTTGTTGTTATAATATCCTTGAGGGGGAACACGTTGAAAAGCATGCCTTTGATCATAATGACCTATATTTTGGAGTGTGTGCCGGAAGTTTTGTTTTTCTTGTGAGACTTCAGTGTTTTTTGAGCAAAATGGATGGGAAATAATTCCCACATGAAGATAGATTTCTCAGTGAAGCATATTGTCTTCTTTTTCATTTTTGAATCTTACTATATGAATGGTGAACCTTATAAATTTGAAACTAAGGTTTCTTCTACTCTCTATGATGGCATATTTTATTCCAAGTTTATCCCATCTCTCACATAAAAATATGAATAAAATGTTATTAAAAAAATTAATTTTTTTAAATAAGAATATTATATTAAACAAAAGCATAGGCATAAGATTCATCATCATCTATTGTCTTAAAATTTGAGGGAAAGACTTGAATAACAAACCATTGGATGGGTTTAAAAGAGCATAAAGGAAAACAGAAGGCAACAAACAATTAGGCTAAAAAAACTCTGGATAAATTGAATATATTTGGATTTCCATTTAATTCATTCATTTGATGTCTAATTTGAAGCTCTCAGACAATAGTTCTTTTGAGCGTGTCAAAGTAATTCTTGTATCTCTGTGATTAAAAAGTGCATATATCTATATATATTTGATTTAAAAGTGCACACTTTTTCTAAGTGATATATATATAGATGTTTCCCTTCTTTTTTTTCTTCAAATGTTCATATTCAACATGAGTTGTAAAAATTTCATAAAGGTGAATCCAAAAATATAACTCTCATGGCACACCCCACCATGGCATGCCCAAAAAACCAAAAAATAATATAAAATAATTAAAAAATAATGTTGTCAAATTAGAAGGCATATCACTTACTTTCTTGGGCGGCTATGCACAAATCTACCGTTTACACTGTTTAAGACTTGGTCAACAATGGGAAAACTATAGCGATTCCAGTTTGACTCGACTCTTGTAGTATCTCGGACTTGGGTTTAATGCTTTCATATTGTTGTTTACCTGTTGTTCCCCTTGTATCCCTTTAGAATTGGCTTTCGAGTTGTGGTTGTGCCTTTGGAGCAAGTTGGTTGCGTGTCTTTTCAAACCTATGATGCCCAGATTTTGGCTCTTCCGCTCGAGCAGGCTTCACAAATTTTGCTCCTCTGCTCGAGCGATCATTCTTGCGCTCAAGCGGGATTTGTCAATTCTTAGTATTTTTGCAGGTCTACAAATACTAGGAGAGTGCATTGGACGCCCGAGCGTCCAGTCTCACACTCGAGCGGGAGTCTTCATCTGCAAAACTTCTGGAAATGTGTATTCCACGCTCGAGCGCCATTTTATACGCTCAAGCAGATCCTTGTGTCTGATGCTTGAGCGGACTGCGTGTATAACAGTCCGTGAAGATGATATTTTGAATCACTTTTTCATTCCTCTCTCTCTAAAACATTCCAAAAACCTAGATCTATACATTCTCTCTCTAAAACTCACATTCTCTCTTTGATTTCATCTAGATTCGTTGATCTTTCTACCCTAGTGTCTTTGAGAAAAATGTGGAGTGCATCAAGACCTTTATTTTGATCCGAATAGAAGTAGGATTCAGTGTTCTTGGAGTTTCTCTCTTGTTGGGCTCATCTTCTTCCTTTGAGAGAGGGATCTTTTCTACACCTTCATATGATATTTAGCTAGTTATTGGTATCTTGTGTAACAATGATGTGATTTGAGGGCGTTGTAAGCAAACCTAGGGTTTGGGTATAATATGGAAAGAAGGATTGTTGTTGAATATAAAATAAGTGACTGTGGGTTGTGAAAATGAGATTATGTTGGGTCAAAATGGTTAAGAATGACATTTGGGTTGATACTTGAAAAAGGGAAATTTTTTCCCTAAAATGACTATCATAATTGTTTGATATAAATATTTAAAATTGACATTGAAAATGTGAAATTGAAAGGGTATTGCTATGAACGGTGGGATTGGTTATGTATTAACCCATTCTTTGGAAGTTGAATAAATTATCTGTCATGAGATTGAATATCTGTTTAGAAATAATTGTATTGGGCTATCGGTGGAGGATAGCTATGATTATTGTACAAATTGCATGAGGATTAGGTGAATTGAAACTAATCTCTTCTTGTTTGTCATTGAATATGACTATGTTTATATACATTGTATATGTATGATTATGTGAAAGTGGAAAGGAGATGTACTCCATTGTTTGATTTCGTGTTTAAATATATTGCATATGTATGAATGATTGTTTGGGAGGAGAAAATGGATGGACTCCATTATAATTAAGTTGGTCGGAGTGTCCCAGGTGAAAGTCTCGAAATTATACATGGGTGCCTAGCCCGTGAACGAAATATTCGTAAAATGGCAATTGTAGTGCTTGTATAGCCTACATTTACATGGGTCCCGTTTGACAGCTACTCGCAGACGAAATATCCATGAAATGAAAGTTTGAAGTGCTTATATGTTGATGATGTGGTTAGAGAATTAATGAGTTATTGTCTCATTTGGGTTGTTGGGAATGAAATGAATTGAAGGGAAATGGCTTAAGGATTGAGTTTGGTATCTTATGACTATGTAAAATGTGGATGTTTTTATCACTAACGTTGTGTATGTATAGTGTACTTATACCTTTGCTAAATTTCATATACTGTGTTAGATGATTTCTACTGGGCTGTGGCTCACCCTATTTGGGAATGACATTTTCAGGTAATGATGGCATGCCTTCCTGATGAAAGTTTGATCACAATTCTCATTAAAGAAAATATCTGAATTACAGAGTATATTTATACAAGAGCTATGTAACTGAAAAATATGTAACTGAAAGTCTAACTACTCCTAATGACTTCTAACTACTTTCCAGTGGTTACGGAAACAGTTGAGCATCCATTGAGAGCTGTGATTGCATCTGATGCTGATGCATGAGAAGATGGTGCTGATGCACTTGCACGAGTGGGTTCCTTATCCTTAACACTTCCCCAAGGCAATAGCATTGGAGGGACCTTTGGGAAGCAAGAGCTTCTTATTTTGTTTTATTTTGTATAGCCTAGGGCTAAATTTTTATTGAGTGAAGCTCATTTTGTTGTAACCATGCCAAGACTGGGAAAGGTGTAAGCCAATAGGGCATTTGCTTACGTTAAACTCTTTGTACTCATTAACTTTATGTAATGAAAGGACTACGACTCTAATTTATATTATCATTTATATATGTTTGTGGATGTATTTATGATATTATTTTGGGGGCGTGAAAAAAACTGCAACACCTTTGGAAATCAAAAACCAACTATTCCTCCTGTGTAAGCCAATAGGGCATATTGATGTATTTATCCATCAATATTTTCAGCTAGCATCATTGCATACACCTCCCATGGAAGCCTTTAAAAAAACATACGTGAAATGTGTTGTCGCACTATTTTGCTTCTACAAGACTCAAATCTCATAAGAAAGCACTAGAACGATTCAAAAATTGAAGAGATTCAACTAGACGTGTTACATGTATAAATAGGGACACACCCTAAACGTAGGCTCCAAGTCCTAAACCAATGGCTGTTGTTCCTGTACCAACATCTACAACAATTTCAAAGGCTTGCTCTTTTCCAAAAACATGATTCTGGGATAAGTACTGCACAAGACAGCTGACACCTACAAGAGAGAAATTCTAAAGATATTGGACATAGAGAACAGCTAATCAAATAAGCAAATGCAAACAAATAGAGAAAAATACATAACTAAACTAATAAGAAATTACTTTTCCATAGACCATACCATCCACCAATTTGGGTAACCCTGACCATATTTGATCATGCATTTATTTTATCGATCTTTGTCCTTATTTCTTTAGACCATTCATAAAACTTAATTGACAATTATTGCACAAATAGCTCATTTGTCAATGAAGTTTAAAGACATAACTAAGAACTTCAACTCAAAAAAAAAAAAGGCAAATAAAAGTATGCCTAGTTTAGTACCCATTGGATGGGAGTATGGTCTAGGGTAGGTAGATTGGGTACAAACCTAATATTTAGCATTATTTGCACAAAATGGCTACCCACAAGTTTGAACTCACAACCTCAAGGTTAATTGATAGGCCGAGTTTTAACCACTGAACCAATGGGCCCCTTAAACAAAAAACAAAAAAAAACAAAAAACAACAAAATTGGCAGGTAATATCAAGCCACATATTTTGCAATGCGCGTACAACTATGCCATAGACATCTAATAAAATGATATATATACAAGTTACAAAATAAGTGCTCAAATAGTTCTTTATTTTCTTTTTTTCTTATAATTAGTCAGGTATAGATGCATAGACATAGCGATTGTCACAATGTGTCCTCAAATACAAGAAAATATGCAAACATTTAATGACAAATAAGTATCAAACCACATTTTTACACTTACCTAGTAACCCTACAGCATCTCCTGCACCTTCATTGACAATAACAACCCTTTTTAAACTTTCAACATATCTATGAACATCCAGTCGCTCACAATTCGGTTTACCAAATATTTGAGTTGTCAAGGAAGCCTCTAAAATGTCACTTAGCCATACAACAGAACCGCTACCGTCTGCTACCAAATCAGCATGTTTTGCAAGCATTTCCTCCCTCTTGGAAAAAAGAAATCTAGGTACATAAATGGCACTTCCATATAACATGGAAATCAGATTGTAACCAGTAGGAATTTTAGGTTGTTCTCCTCTGAGAAGCAAATGTGACCTCAGTCCTCTCTCCGCACAGGAAACAGCTGCCAGGTACACGAGCCAATTATTGGAAATTGGATTCTATGGCTCATTTCACAAAAATAAATGAAAATCAATTTTTAAGAAAATTTTAAAATAGGAAATATTTGTACTTCCCTGCAAAACTAAAGTACCTACCTATTACTTCCATATGCACACTTTGGCAACCTCCACATGTAACCTAGAAAATGTCTGAATTGGATATTACTCAGTCCTAAAAGTGCCTAAAGATTCTATAAATAAGTATATCATGGGTGCAAGATGAATACATATTATGAAAAGTGAAACATATAAAAACAAGAAGTAGCTGAGATCTACCATAGAATATATTCTTGTATGCTAAAAGCAAGCATGATTCAATTTCTGTGGTTATCTGGCTGTACCAACTTTATAGGTATATATGCAAACTTGTTCATGTCTCACAAAACATGTCTCACTTGACAAATTTAATGGTGGGAGTTTAATATATTTTTAAAATTTAAATTTTTTTTTTTTACCTGTCCTATCAACTTTTTTAGATACTTGTATTTTGCTGAAATTTTAATAGAATTAAATTAAGTGTTGTATCTCAATTACTTGGAATCAGTTATATAAGTCATTTCTCATTCTTTTTGTCTCTAAAATTAAATTCTCAATAAAATAAAATAAATTTATATGCAATTTGTTAAGTCTTACTCCCATATTTGTATTTAGATTCATGAATTCATACTCATAAGAGATCCATTGAGTTATTAGGCTACCTAATTCATTTCTCATCTTCATGTATTTTTCAATTTTTTTCATATGTAATTTATTGTAGAACTTGGTTGCTTTAGGATCTTTTGTGAGTAAAAAATGTGTTCGATTAATTGCATCTTGTTATGATTTGTGTAGGCTCTAACAGCTACTGTCACAACCCAAACCTAGTACTCAAAGGTTCGACATCGCAACAAGTCATAACAAATTAATAGTGCAGCGGAGTAAAATAAAAGGGTACCCGAATCTTCATTGAAGTATAACAAAAATGTATACATTGGAGCTTCAATTCGATTGGAATACCAGAGCAGTACTATGACTACAAAGTGCCTTGTGCCTACCTCATGCACTGGTTTTGACACACCACTTGAAAGTGGTTAACAGCTATAAGCACATGGCAGAATGAGAAATATTATACAGTGAGCATGAGGGTACAAAAATCCACGGATAATTATTTGGCTAAACAGAGATTAGCTTAGTAACTGAAATACATAATTAATTTTAAATAACAGAAGCAGAATGCGGAAATCATATAAGCAAATAATCATAACCACAGTATAGAACAGAACAGAATAGAGGTCACTGGAGTGACAATTAGAACAGAGGTCAATGGATAATGATAAAGAGAATATGAATTTGATATTTCATTATTCAACATATCTTCAGCACAGGTATATTTATACAACAAACTAATTGTAACTCTAGTTACCAGTTAACTAAGGTACAGTTAACATAACAACTTCCTAACTAACACATCACTATATGTAACATGTGCATTAATAGCTCTAACTAATTACTCTAACTGATTCGTAACAAATGTATAACTCTGCTGCAGCAATGAGCTCAACTCTGTGGCTTTAACTGCAGCTCAATTGCAACTCTCTACTGCAACTCTCTTGGCTTCAACTGCAGCTCTTCTTCTGTAGATATAGGCTGAGCTACTGATGTAGCTGTAGCTGGTGCAGATACATTATCATGCCCCCTCAAGCGGATGGGAGAGGGAAGAACCATAAGCTTGGACTGAAGATAAGTAAAGCGAGAAATAGACAGAGGTTTTGTAAAAATATCTGCCACCTGATCAGAAGTTGGAATATGACAAATGGAGAGTTGTTTTGCAGTTACCCTTTCTCTGACATAGTGATAATCCACCTCTATATGTTTAGTTCGGGCATGAAAAACAGGATTGGAAGACAGAGAAATGGCAGCTATATTATCACACCATAAAGTAGGAGAAGGAGAAGGAACATGCAAATCAGAGAGAAGCATGCCAAGCCAGCTTAACTCAGCAGCAGTGTGAGCCAATGCTCTGTATTCAGCTTCAGTAGATGATCTAGCCACAGTAGGCTGCTTTTTAGCAGACCAGGACACTAAATTTGGACCAAGAAAAACACAGAAGCCAGTAGTGGAACGTCTATCCAGTGAATTTCCAGCCCAATCCGAATCTGAAAAGGCATGGAGGGTAAGAGGTCCAGGACTAAACTGAAGACCATAGCCAAGAGTGCCTTTGAGATAGCGGAGAAGCCGTTTAACCATAACAAAGTGTTGAACAAGAGGTTGGTGCATAAATTGACAAGCAAAATTAACTGCAAAAGAAATATCTGGCCTAGTGATGGTGAGATATTGAAGGCCTCCAACAATACTTCTGTAGAGAAAGGGGTTGGAACAGGGTAAATGATCATGAGGAGAAGAAGAAGGTTTAAGAGCCATGGGAGAAGAGTATGGCTTGCAGTCAGCCATACCAGATCGCTAGGGAAAATTTTTCTCTATTGGTTCTACAAGATAACTATTTAATCTCGAAAGTCAAAGACGACTCACTTAGGTGTATGATCACATTCACTTGATAGATCGAAAATCCATTCACATTGAACATTACATTCTAGGGATCCACATCAAAGGTATTGGGCCATACTCATAGTACAACGTTCCCAAATAATGTAATTCTCTGACTGGCAATGAAACATTTTTACACAATAATAGTCCCAATGATATAGCCATCTTATAACAATTGACTTCAAATGAATGGATGGATCCTGAATCCATTAACATATAGGCACTTTACTCACAAATAGTTTCCTTATAACAATCTCATTCTAATTATCTTAGCAATCTAATATCAAGTTTCAAATGCTCAAGTAGATGAGTTCTAAATTTATCCACAATCAATTCAAATATTTAGAAGGGTGTCAATTCTAATTCAAGACTTTTTGTATTGACTAGCAATGTTTATCTATTTATTTATTTATTTATTTATTTTTATTTTTTTTACCTATTTATGAAGTACCAATCTTCGATCTAATCTGATTGACTTGTTGTAATTTTTTTTTTTTTTTTTCTTGACAATCTCTCAGTCGATGTCTTATTAAAGTATCCTCTCATAACTCAATGACATAATTGTCTATGCAACTTTTAATACGTTGGACATGTTGGGGGCAAGTTCATTTCTTTACGACTTTGCTTAAGATTGTTTGCCTCTTGTACCACAAATTTCTAAACATCTTCTTTTATTCTATTGTTAATTCCACATTTAACTTTTTCTTTTGATCTTTGCCATTTCCCTTGACATGTTTGCATAGGTTTCATTATATTTTCTAATGCTTCTTCCACTTTGTGTAATTTTTCAACAGAGATTCAACAACTTCCACATCATTTATACTTCTCATTATCGTTTCCTTATGTCACACGGCAAAGGTGGATAATACTTGGGGTAATCAAAGTTAGCTCGGAACATAACACAACAGATGCAATCGTAAGCCAAATACTTATGCAAGGTCATCGGTAGGGCAACCTATTCATTTCCACGAAGTTGACCGAGAATTCCAGATGTGAAGCTACGCCGGCCGAACGTGATTTCAATCGGACTTTCAAGGTCACACAACAAAAGTATGAGACCCTATGGCTCAGATAGTAGGTCCCTTAAAAAAAAACAACATACCTTCTTCATATCAAATAATTTCCTAGCCTCCAATCACCATAGTTCCATGCACTTCATTGATCATCAGATATTTTAACTACTTCCTGAAATGTTCTCATAGCTTAACTTCACATGTAACCACGTAGCTTTCATCACTTCCATCAAAAATCTAATTCCTTGTAACACCATATTCATACGAATCAACATGCTTGTATTCCCCAACGTGCAAGTCAAAAATTACGTTTTCCTTATCGCATTATAGATTTCACAATAGCTCTTCACTTCAACACTAAACTTATTAAACAAACACACCCTAGTGTCTTTTCATCATCAAAGTTCCATAATAACCGTTTGTTAGGGAAAATATATGATTCCCCACTAGTAAATCAATTTTCACACTACTGTTGCACACCTTTGGAAGTAATAATCTATATATAATGTTAAATCTTGGGCTTGTTTTATCAAAACCCTAGTTGTTACAAAACTAAATTGAGCTTCCACAAGTTAGATATAATATATAAAAATATATTATAACCAATACCAAACCAAATTAAACTCTTTTAATAAACCAATTGGGTCCCATACTCCAATAAGGAGGTTTACCTAACAATTCTCCCTCTACCGACTTAGGTAGAGACATCAAGCATACTCGCCAAAGTTCGACACTTTAAATGTTTGTCCCTCAACAAAGTCTTAGTCAATATATCCGAAATATTATCATCTGTGTGAACCTTTTCGAGTTGTAACAATTTCGAATCTAACACATCACAAATCCAATGGTATCTCACATCAATGTGTTTTGATCTCGAATAAAAAGTGTAATTTTTACTCAAGTGAATAGCACTTTGACTATCACAATAAAGCACATACCTTTCTTACTTTAAGACCAACTCTTGCAAAAATTTCTTCAACCAAAATTCTTCTTTGCAAGCTTCCGTAATGGCAATAAATTCAAATTCGGTAATTGAGAAAGCAACACATTTTTGTAATTTAAATTGCCATGCCATAGCTCCCCCCTGCAAATGTCATCACATACCCCGAAGTACACTTCCTAGAATCAACATCACCGGTCATGTCAGAATCCGTGAACCCATCAAGCATCGGCTTACCATCCCCAAAACACAAACACACCTTCGAAGTCCCTCGAAGATACCTTAGAATCCATTTTACCGCTGCCCAAT